TGCATCAGTGACGCAATCCATTTTTATTTATTAATCAGGACTTGTCATGCATCTACTAACATCACACCACGTCTCCTCAAACTGTTGTGATCCACCCATGTATGTAGGGTTTCTGTAGTCAGTCTTTCTTTATGTGAACCAAAACCTTTCTGTAGAACCTCAGTCCTATCAAAGTAGATCTTGTGTCCCGTTTCTATCGAGTGCAGAGTAATCGCCGATCTGTTTTCTAGCTTCTTCAAGGCTACAGAGGTCTTTGGGAACACCTTCAGACAGTGTTTACTCTCCTTCACTCTTATATTTACCTGTCTGGTAGGTTCTCCTATATATACGGCGTCACAATCCCCACAATTGATCTGGCATACACACTTCTGTTGGTTGTCTTCTATTTTATCTCTAGCCCTCACCAGTGATGAGCGTAAGGTGTCAGTTGCACGGAAATACACTCTTATGGCATGATTGTTAAGAATTCTCTTTATCTCATCTGATGTTTCTTTGCGGTAAGGAATCACCACTGAAGTGGTAGAGCACGTTGACCGCTTCACTTATTTGGGAAGTACCATCAGCCAGTACCAACGGGTTGATCTCCGCCGAAATCTCAGGACGAATACAGAGGGCTAGTTTCGCATATGCCAGTTTACGCCGTCTCTGGCGTAGACGTGATATCCGACTATCGACCAAAGGGCGGGTGTACTGCTCAGCAGTCCACTTCGTCCTCCTTTATGGCTGTGAGACCTGGCCATTGAGTGGAAGATATGAAAAGATTAGCTGTGTTCGATCATAGGTGTCTGCGCTCTATCTCCCGTGTGAAGTGGTATAATAAGGTGAGCAATATTGAGGTCAGGCGTCGAGTGCTAGGTAAGGCGGGGAAATCAATCGATGGGGTGGCTGTGAAACTACATCGACTGAGATGGTGAGGACATGTGCTACGTATGCCTAGTCATCGCCTTCCTCGACGGGCAATGTTAGCTGATATAGGGCCAGTCTGGAAAAGAGCTAGCGGCGGTCAAACGAAAACATGGCACCAGTCAATGAAATCTACAACAGTTAGTTTAAGTCACGTAGGAAGATGTAGACTTCCTGGTTGGTGTCCTCGGGACGGTAAAAACCAATGTTTGGAAACAATTGGTGACATGGCTCAAAATCGTTCTCAGTGACAGCGCAGATGCATCCACTCCTTGTACCTTATGATTTCCAATGAAACTGTTTTGTTCCTCGTTATTACTATTCCTTTGTCTTACACCTCTGTTTACTGTCTATATTATGCATTTCTCCTACTTTTTTCTCTTCCTTTGTGTGCTACATGGAGTGTGGCGACTTGAACTGCCGCACATCGGTGCAAAGTTCTATGTCGAAAACAGACAGACCACTGTTCTAACCCAAGTCTTAGCAACAGGTTTCGACTCATCCTTATCTTCACATTTTAAATATCTTTTTATGAACGCTTTGGGAAAATTATTTGATTAAAGCGTGAAATGAACCAATTTTAGTTCCTTACTGATCTCTCCCACCTCAGTGACTAGACGTTTAGCTCTGTTAATCAGCTTCTTGGTTACAGTTACTTTGGTGGCAAAGGAATGTACTGAAAAATAGTCTAGATATCTGTCCGAATGTGTCGCCTTTCTGAAAATGTTTATTTTAATTTGACCGTCTGGTCGTCTTTTTGCTGAACATTCCAGGAATGCCAAATCGCATGGATTTGTCTGTTATTAGCTTCCTCTTAACCTCATTTATACTGTGTAACACAAATGGATGATCAATGGAAAGCGAATTGTGTGCGGTCATCTACACTCCATCTTGGCCAAAATTATTGTATTCTTTCATCTTTATACAGATACTGAACGATGGAAATCCTCACTTTTACGTTATGTAGCAAGTTTACGCTTAGGGCAAGCAGACATTACCAGCAAATGAAACTGACTAAAGGATTTCTCCTGTTGAAGGGTTGAAGCACTCTATTGATTAGAATATTAGGTTTTGTGATATCATCACAAAAAGCTTAGACAGTAAGGGAGTTCATTGCTACTAAGACGATGTGACTGCCGAAAATTATTCACAGCGATGTATCTCTTTTCGACTGTGACAGTCACTGGATCATACTGAGTGAAAACCAGCGTATGAGATATAAAAGTGTAACATTCAACTGTTGGTAGATTTCTTTAATCCTTACAAGTGGGCTGTTTTAAAGTAGTGTGAAGAAAGCTGTGTGTAGTCATGAAGTTCTGAGGGTAGAAACACAATCGTATCGGTCAGTAATTCCATTTGCATTTGATATTGTAAGCAGTTAGATATGCTGATAAACCTCATGGAGGTGGCACAGCGGTTAGGACGCTCGCCGACCATGCACATAGTCCAGGGTTCGATCCCCTGCCGACGCACACCTCATATCAATGGTCGGCCTGCAAGCTTTGGGCTACCGATATCACATGCTGAAAATTCCATACTTGTACCAAAAGTACTGTGTGGTTTCAAGCTATAATCAAAATACAAAAATACAAAAAATCAGTTTCGTCGGATTCAACCTCTTTGGAAAACCTAATGGTTTCTGACATATTGTTTATTAAATGAAAAAACTCAATCAATAAGCTGCGTCTGATTATGATAAAGGTATCATCCACATTCGTCGACGACTAGAGCATCATCTCATAATTGCATTTGTTTCTAATAAGTGCAAATTGTGAATTTATTTATTTTGTAAGTTGAGAATGTGATCCAATCATGGAATTCGATTATTACTGATGTAAGATCTTTGCTAACAAGTTTCAAAAGTTGTTGTCGTACAAAGATCTTCGATAGAAATATTCAAATCCCTTCATGTTCACCAAAGTGTCTTAGTCAAATGTCGACTTTTGATGAGTCAGAGGGTTGTGACAAAATTAGACAAAAATGTGATGAAAGTCAAACATCAGGTAGACAGTCACACACATATAGCGTGTTAACTGAGAGCTATAAAACCCAGGCCTGTTGTAAACTATTACGTGAAAAGTTTGTATCTAATGCTCTGTGTCGTATATAATCAGTCTCTCTAATTTTTTATCTTTTCCACATATGTGCTGATAGAATCTATTTATAACTTTACGAGAATTAATCACACAGCTGGAGATTTATTATATTACTTATGCGATAATACCTTATACTAGGTAAAGAAGCAGATAAAGTGATTAGTCATCTGGATATATTGATTGACAGTCTAAGATGTCTTTCAACTCACAAATGAAAATTATTCTTTCAGGACTAATGTGCACTGATACTCCGTCTGATAGGAAGCGAAGTCACGATGGACTGGTGACTGACGAAGCCTTAGAACAGATGTAAAGAAAATTCGCTGAATTTTTCCCAACTAAGGTTAAATTTGGATTCAGAGGAGATATCCAACCACAACAACACTAGGCAGTAGTGAACATTACTCAAATATGTGGCTGTTAAATAAAACTAATTTGGATAATGTGAAAAGCGAAACTTCTGTAGCACCGTCTTTCTGCAGTATAACGATTTCATGAGCAGTGTAAAATCCAGCCACATTCTCTTGGACAAACAAGTTGATCTGGAGGTGCACTTTCATAGCATCAGATGGCTAGTGTACAGATAAATGTGTGCCGAAAATAAAGCTATAGAAAGCTAAAGATGAGCTACCTAAGCGATAGCAACAATCCATCAAGACACTAAGCGTTAATCTGAGCGACCTATCATATGTCAATGAAACCATGTAGCTCAATTATTGAAAATACTTACGTTCAAGTAGTCATAGCATTAAAGCACAGACGAGTTTTGACACTAAAACGTACCACTTGAAAGTTAATTCACTGGAGGGGAGGCACTTTCACTCAGTCCAAGTGATTTTTAGATGTGATTCTAACCAATAGGTTCAGAGGTTCGAATGCAACCGGCTTCGCTTACTTCAGCTCGAACAACTGGGTAGCATCGTTGGCCCTCACAGAATAATTGTGTGGTTCATAGCCCAGTAAAGCGTAACTAACTCCCGACTAAACTAGTGAATTTGATTCAGAACAGAAAGTAGTGAGGGAAACGTGTTTATTTATAATCTTCATCACAAGAATAACGTTGCATACACGTTATTGCATCTTACGCCATTTGATTGTATCATTTTCATCTCCTTATATCTTTCCTTTTATGGCCTACTACCTAATATACTGAAGTGAGGCACAGTAGATCAGAACACTATGAGTTACTTCATTAATGTTAAAGCGCTGGAGACGATCGACAGGAATCCTTGTGCCTAGGTTTCGTGCTTGTTGGCACTCACCACAATCAGCAAGGCGTATCTAAAACGTCGAAGGAACTCATGTCCCCACTGAGATTAGAACCCACATCGCGCAATGCTGTAGTCAGAGACGTTACAATTAACCTCCTGTAGAACTGTATTTGACACTGATCAGTCATTACGAAGGAACCAATGCTTTCTTAATCCTTGTTGTTGGTGTTGCAGACTGAATTCTACCAATGTTGTAACCCAGCTAGCTGGTCAGCCACCGCAGTGCACTCTTAGATGGTGTTGAATAGTTCGAGGCAATCGGCAGGAAGCCCTGGAACTACGTTTTGTGCCTGTTAGCACCCATCAGTAGGGCTATTGATTTACTAGTTTGTAAGTCCAGCTTCTCGCGTAAAACCAGCAGCGATTGAATAAAATGGATTCGTTTTATTTTCATAGTTTTCTAGGAGATAAGGACTAAAGCAGCCACGTAGAAACATCATAATACCAGTAGGAATGAAAGTAACAGATGTCAGATAGACTAGACAACTTTATTAACTGATGAGAAATATTTCATAGTGAGCTGAGACTCTACTGTTCAAGCTAGTGATTCATAGGTAGTGTCAGAACAAAAGCAGTAGAGCATTTCACCCTTGCAGACTAAGTAAACCTCATATAAAATACGACTTCGACGACCAAAAGATTCGTTATGTATCCAAATATAACGAAAAACACCCACCCACTCCATGCATGAGATCATGACGCCATGATCTTCTAACTCAAAAATAATCTCGACAGACATTACGAGTTTAATGAAGCGCTGTCTATTACGCATATAAGAAATTAGGACTGAACATCACTTAAAATAAAACAACTTGTGTATATATCAAATAAGTACAAGATAAGTATGCAAGTCTTTTTTTGTTTGATCACTTAGCTTCCAATGCAATTTTCTGTTTCTTGACACGAGCCTTCTTTTTCTCAGATACCTTTCTTTTACTTGTCTCATTTTCAAGTTCAGCGGTTGAAATATCCATTTCCTCATCGGATAATTCTGATTCTGGGTCAATATCCATAAGTTCACGCTTTCTTTTAGCTATAGAATAAATTTTTTTGAAAAAAAAATTTGACCACACTATTCAACCTACCTCCAGGAGCTTCAATCAAATGCATTTGTGTATTAACAAGCTTAATATCCTCTTCTTTACGTAACTGCACACCTTTCAATAGACGTTTTCTAATGAATGCAGATTCACGTTTATGCTTGATTTGATCAATTTTCGGAACAGCGTTCACTGAAAAAAAAACAATAAATGATTAGTGTAATCTATAAAAAAAAATACCTATTTTTTCAACTGCTGTCCTTTCATACTTGAATAGAAGATTTCGTTTCTTTTCAAATGTTTGAGCTAGATCATCGGTTAATTCTTTCCCGCGAACTCTTCTTGATACTTTAGTCCATTTAACTTTACGTGGATTTTTATGCTTTTTGAAGGCTTTATGACATTTTCCTCTACAGAAACGGAATTCCTACAACAACAACAACAACAACAACAACAACAACAACAGAATTAGTGAAATAATCCACAATTATTATGAGCATAAGGAATCCTAATACAGGCTGAATGTAATCAAATAGAAAAGTATTATCACTTATACATATAATTATGAGAAACAAGAATGTTTCATATAGTGACTAAATGTTTCTGTCAGTTGATATTCTTAGAGTCATTCGTATTAAATTTTGCAAAACACTGAGTTGAAATAGGGACGCCGAAGCTGAACATGGAAGCGGCAATGACAAATATTGCTAGTCTAACGCCAACAACATTACACAACAGCTGTCTGTTCACCAACCCGCTCTACTTAAGCGAGTACACACAACGACCTGAGCCAAAAAAGTATAGTTTAGTATTCGCCACAGTATAAGTATATTTGTAAAAGGAAACAGTGAGATATATGCATGTACATGACCAATGACGTAGGCGTGGGAGAAGCTAGCCATAAAATGATAATCCATTGTTTACCTGTTTATATACTACACCCCTCTTTAGAAGAAATGTATTAATTGGAGTCAACCACCTGGAACCTCACCGTGTTTTACTTACTGGGAGGTCTAGGGCGTTTGTGGCCTCCTCCCCATCGAAGCGTGACAAGCTGTGGCACTCTTGAGAACCTCTTGTTGTTCGAGACGAGAGTTTGGCGCCAGCTTGTCGTACAGATCTGTTTGGTAGGGAAACAGACGTAGCGCCATCTGGGGGACCTAGAGTCCGAACACTGATGAATTTTCGGCAGGCAAGTGCTAATTGGGAAAGAAGTCTGCTGAGACTTGTCGAGAATGGCTGTCGAGTATGTTGCTGGTTAAAACCATCTTTGTGTCCAAGATTATTGCAGTCTTAGCACCAATGTTGCTTATACGGACAAGATTTGATAAGAATCCAGGCAACAAGATGACAGAAGTGTCACGTTTGGGCGTTGATTGGTATTGCGTGAGTAACTGGGACGATGGATATTTGAGAAACGAACAAGGAGTGTTTGGCCAGAGGTTGATGCAGAGAATTGAGAGGTTCGGAGAACTTCACTGATTTTAGGACCACCTGGCGTCCAGATTGGACTAAACTGGCTGTTCGAGGACTTTGTCTAACGTCGAATAATCCAACAACCCTATCGCCAATATGTTATGATGTTCGTAAAAGGAAGTATGCATGGTCAATGGAGTATGTATGAGAACAGATTACCACTAAAGGATAATCTACAGTTTGTGTCAACATATCAGTTTGTTAGCATGTATCCAGAAAAGTGATATCAATCAGTAGAGATATTTACTTATGAAACTTTTTAAGAATTTTGCCATGCATTTTAATTGACTTATGTGAACCTATAATCATTGCCTACCTACAAGGAATTCATAGTATTTTGATCCCAAATGATTTCCAATGCAGTCAGATCTGACATACCACATGAACTAAATTTACGGAACAACTACTAGTGTGTTATCTGATGCGAAATTCACGCTTATTGAAGATAAGACTGACAACCAACGAGTATTAATGTGCCCAGCTGTAAATTATGATCCAGTTGAAGAAGTGATAGACCAATCATTCATTGGAGGTGATTAGCCAGTGCATGAAACAGGTTAACTAGCAGACTGCCTTGATGTAGAATTTACTACAAATGCGTTGTACTGGAAGTAACTAGGCTCATGAGCATTGTCCATGGTGGTGCTAACTGAATTCTGTCAATGTGATCACCAATCTTAAAGACTCGCCATCGCGGTGCACTTTTTTAATTAATGTTAGATGATTGGGGACAACCAGCAGGCTTTTTTCTTGCCTCCCACAATCCACCATTGAATACGGTGTATTTAGTTTACATCTTTATGACAAAGTGGTTATGAATGACCTCAATTCACAGCATTTAAATGACACTTATATAGCTCCTGATCAGCTTATATATTCTTTCTAAAGGTGAGGTTAAAACATACATATTAGCATATTTTCAGACGTCCTTAACCAAGAACATTATATACATGCTTGCCATTATTTATATATCCATAATGATAGGAAAAGGTGTGACAGCTGCCTTTCTATGGCATATAGGAATGGCGAATAAGACTGGGTAGCACACTATATATATATATATATACTGCTGCAAACCGAGCTGCCATATTCCATGTACCACACGAAAGAAGACAAAAGAGAGATTCGGAAGAACGATAATGAGCAGAAATGTTGTGGGAAAGGATAGAAACATGGGAAAACACGAGGGTTTAGTGGATGTGGCAAGTCACAAAGAATGAATGTATCCGCACCGCTGACAATTTTGAGTCATACAACTAATTACCCCCAGCCGTTGGTTTGTAGAGTCCTAAAGACTCCAACCGCACAGTCTACACCTCCCTACGTGGCTGGCTGAAACTAAGTGTTGTGGATTTCATTGATTGATGCCATGTTTTCGTTTGACCACCACTCCCTATTTTTCAACCTGGTCTTATGTCAACTAACATTGTATGTCAAGGAATGCTATGGCTAAGCATGAGCAACACATGTCTGAGTCATCCCGATCGATGTAGTTTCATAACCTCATCGATTTACTGTCCCTCCTTACCTAATACTAGATGACTTAATCATATATTCACCCTTCAAGAGATTCTAGAACATAAGCATACTTACAGTCGCTCAACATAAGTCTTTTTTGACCTGAGAGTGGCATTCGATTCTCTTCATCGAGATGTACCTCGGCAGTATCTGGTCGTTCAGGGAGTGATGAGAAAGTATATTGCACCAGTTAAGGCGCTCTACTTGAACTCAAGCGGCCATGTGAGAACTTACGGAGAGTTATCATCTGAAGTCATGACAACCAGCAGTGCTCATTAGGGATGCCTAATATATCCCTCTTGTTTAAGTTACCCATGTATACACTATTGGATATAGCCGTGGTCGTATTTGGCAAATTACTGATTGACCTGTTTCCAGGGAATAATCTCATCGACTTAAAGTATGCGGATAATGTTGTCCACACAGGTGAAGACATCGGGAGAAGAAAGTCCTCTGAATACCCTGAGTAGAAATTTTCGAATATTTGACATTTGATTTCCATTTATCTAATATAAGAGGAAGCCGCACAACTGATATTCCCAACTTGAAAATACGGACTGAAGGGGTTGAATGTGCTGATCATTTCATTTAACTGGGAAGCTGAATCCACCCAATAGATTGCTGACAAAATTCCTGTGTGGATACAAAAGGCTCATGTTGCGTTCGTCCCTGGAGTAGACGTGATATTTTCCCAATCAGAGGACGTACATACTGCGCAGTAGTTCTCCCTGTTCTTCTTTATGGTTGAAGCAGTCGTTCAAAGTGATAGATATGAACAGGCTAGTTGTCTTTGACTACAGATGTTCAGGTTCTATCTACCAAGCTGTGGTGTAATGTAGTGAGTATTAATGAAGTTACATGTAGAGTATTAATGCGTCATAGGATTACATTAAAAAGAACTACAGGTGGTGAGATCAAAACATAATTTCAACCTATGAGGTTTTTGACTGTTAGTATGAACCAAGTAGGGAGGTGTAGACTGCCTGAGTGAGGCTATTCAACTGCTAGGAACCAATGGTTAGAGAGTGTTGGTGATATGGCTCAAAATTTCTTTCAATAGCGAAAACGCAATCACACTTTGTTAACTTCCAGATCCATTTAACTTGAATTATTCTCCACGAAACTATTTTAGATTGCACATATTTTAGTATCCTGCAACTTCTTTGTATATCTACTACCTCTACCGCAGCATGTGATTTAACAAGTATTTCAACTTTAGTACCAATCTCTGCTCTAGATATTGAGTTCATTTAAGTTACCTGTGGCATGCATTTACTTCTTAATCATCTACGTAATTTCGTCAATCGAAAAGTAACCTCAGAAGTCCGAATAGTCATTAAGTTTTTTTAGATCTACTGTCAATACAAAACATATTTCTGCAGTAAAACGTGGCAGTTATAGCCACTAAGATGAAATACTTGAGGTTCCTTTACACAAAAGACCACCTGAAGTACATATTGTACTGCCTCACGAAATATACTAGACAGAAAATTTTAGTAAACGCCGTTTCATCAACGATGTAAAATTCCACAACGCGATATGTTAACCAATAAACTAACGATAGGCACGCTAATTCGTCATTTGGAGCTTATTTAACGTCTTCAGTGATGGACTCTAAATAACAACGAAAGGTATGTGGCAACTACAACAATATCGAGTGGTAGCTTAGCGGGAGCAAATGAAACCTTCACTACTTGAGGGAAAATTTAATTAGGTTGGTAATCAACTTCAGCTTAAAATAAATCCGAACGTAGTCCCAAAATAAGAGATAAGTTTCAATATCAGAATGTAAGCCTAGTGAACAGATTGCTACAATGTCAAAAAACGAACTGTTGTGGAAACTGACTTTGGTAATGACAGATGTGAAAACCTTTGCGACAGTAGAAAATTTGTAGTTGGTATAACGCAAAGTACACGGTGTGAAAGTTGACTATTGACTGAAAACCTTTACATGTATTGTGCATCGTACTTTATTCGACAAGCAGTTCGACATTTTTCAACAAAACTAAAAATCTGTGTTTGCCATTTACCCACTAACAGTGTCGAGGAAGATGAATGATGATAAAAATTTAAGTACGACAAGAATTTCTCTTTAAAATGTCAAGAACACACTGCACATGAAAGTGGTGATAGTTATACTGTTGCAATTTATGATTAGTTTTGTATGCAGTGTTAAGATATCATCGTAAGCAGTATAAGAATTAAACTAAGTAGACTTACCTTGCAGTCATTTCTGACAAAAAGTGTTCCGTGTCCAGGATATATCGGACTCGAGCAAAACCAACACCGGTAAATCCTCATGCCGATGCTGTTACGCCAAACTAGAATAACCCGCTAGAAACTTTCAATTATTCAATACTTTTCAATGAAATGCGGGCATGAGAGTTATAGTTTCGAATTTTCTAGCCTACGGATAAGTTCTCTCCAATTTTGGGCCCAGCAAATAATTAAATTTTGGAGATGATGAATAATTATTTTATTGGGTTCTATGAATATGGCTTTGGATTGGATTTTGTATGTAGACACTGTATTATTATTACTTCCCATGAAATTTAAAAGAGTAGAAGATTTCGCTACTAGTGGCTGACTGAAAATTTATGGCTGTTGGAGGAAGTAGAGTCCAGAAAACCACCAACAATTCCCAGGGCTGGGGAGGTCTATTCTTTACTCGTACTTGCAAAGCAAAACTGAAAGAATTTTTGGGCGAGACATTTTATGTAATAGCTCTAAGGGATCCCTCACATAGAGTTCCAACTATTAACCCTTAGTCTCAGTGTGTTATTACGCAAGTCACATTTTCCCACAAGGAAAAGTAGCTTCTTCTTTTCCATCTGTCTCGAAATAGTGAGTCGAAAGATTTTATCACTCCGTCACTGAAAATTTTTTAATGACGCTATCATACATATTAGAACAACATCAAGCTCATTAGAAAAAGAGAAGAGCCTGTCTTGAGGGAATGGTCTCCATATGGCATTTGATGAGTGGTAGTACTTTTGGTGAAGAAATTTTTGGTGTGTGAATTTATGCCAACATTATTGGAAGATCGGGCACAGGGAGTAAATACCTCTCAATGAAACCCTATGAAAGTTCACTATTGTGTGTAAACACCTTTTTCAGGATAAAGTAGGGAATTAAAACTTTCGGCATCAAAATAGAACAGAGGGTAAATTAGCTTAAACGCACCAGTCACACACAAAGGGCAAATTTACGCATAAAATGCATATATTTACAAATATAACTAATAAAAAGACGTGCAACTGTTACGCAGGATACATTCCCTTGAAGTAAGACAAATAGCTTCTCATTGGTTTCAGGACTTCAACATGAGGTGACATCGGTTAGCGAGCTACTGGAAATCTGCAAATGAACGATTATTAAGACTGATATGACTTACTTGGCTGGTGTACTGGTGGTGGGATGCAGCTGCGAGCTATTTTTCGACAGAAAGGTACTGCCAATTGCAAACAGTCGTACATTTCAGAAGGACTATCCATAGATGCACACTGATATTGCGATAAACCGATGCATTTTGATGCAGTAAGCAGTTACAGTCTTCTAAAATGCCGTATGACAATGTCCATTCCACTAGTATCACATCTTTGGCTGAACAATTTCCACTATACATTCCATCAAAATAGACATAGTCATCGCAAAATCAACCCGCTTGTCTCACTCATCATATGATTTCCTCGATGCTTCATGAACGACTTCATTCATTCTAGATGGAGACAAAATAGCCTAAGCTTCTCAGAACAGATATATAACTAATGTCCATGGGCTTATTCTCTATCAGATGCATGAATCTCATAGAATAACTGCTATGACAGTAACCATTGCCTGTGGTCAATTTACAGCTGGAAAATCCAAAACCACTCGTAAATATCAAACTTTTAAGGCTCCAAAACAAAAATAAAAATTTTTAAAGCATAATTTCTCTTCGTCTATGCCTTTTTTGCAATAATTCATATGGGATATTCATACACTTTTATGCAACATTGAGAATATGACTGAACCTATCCCTCACCTTCAAGGTCATTGGAGGGGTTGGATACCAGAAGGCCGTTTCGCCCATGTTAGTCAGCCATGTTGGATCACCGCTTCCCAACCGTTCGTTTACACATTGGTTTTTGCGTCTATCCTGCACACAACTTATCTTGATGCATTTTGTACACAAATGTTGCGTTTCACCTCATTTTTGTTTCCGTTGTTAAAATTAGTGATTTTGTTTGTTTCGAAAGTTTGTACTCCAAGGTCAGTTCATTCATTTCATTGTAGTAGTTTCATAATTTGCATTCATGCGTGGTTACAATGTTTTTTATTTTTTTATATTTTATTTTTGATTACAGCTTGATGCCACACCGTATTTTTCAGTACAAGTATGGAATTTTCAGCACTTGATATCGGTAGCCCAAATTTTGCAGGCCGACCATAGATATCAAGTGTGCGTCGGCAGGGGATCTAACCCCGGACCATGTGCATAGTCGGCGAGAGTCCTAACCACTGTGCCACCGACGTACAGATATTAATGAAGTAGTGCTGTGTAGAAGTTTTGGAAATTATGCACATGAACATGTTTGGGTGACAAAAGCTTTTGTTTCCAGTTTATTTATTGACTGCCGTTATTGTTGCTTCCTCAACTGGTTAATCTATCTGTAGAAATCTGGAAAAAACAATGTTTTTCGCGTTCATGTTAACAGCATGATACAATATACGGGTAAATATGGTGAGGAGGATACGATCAGAGTAAATATTAGCAAGGTTTTCCAGGAACAGATTAAACCTGGAGAATTTACAAGCTGGGTTGAAGTTGGAAAAGCTTTAAAGCTTTTTGAGAAGGTGGATATACCATCAGCGTGTTTATTATCAGTTAAAAATCAGGTATTCTGTGAGAGAATCTAAATTAAAGAAGGATTAGCCACACGTGAAGTATGAATATCTGGTGTTTGTATGTACTTCTGGAAACATAAAGAAATCGAAAGGCAATCAGAAACCTCCAAATAGTAAGTGTTACATACGGTTGTTAGTGCCTAATATAACAGGTCCGAATACATCAACTAGAATTTCTGAAGTTACGCCAGTTTTATCAGCCATTCAATATGTTGGAAAATGATTTAAAAAACAGATTGCATACGAACTATCTTATTTCAAGGTAAGACTTTAATTGGCAAACATAAAGTTTCGGATTTCGGTCTACAGCCGGTGGTTTTTCCGAAAGTGCAAGCTGAGAAACTGATTATTATTATTCGGGGTGGAAACATTGGCTGGATACAAATTGCTTGTTGCAGTTCATATAATGAAGTTCCTATTTATGGAAGTTTGTAATTTCTCCGTAGCTATAAATTCGGATTTCCGTGGTTTTTAAGAAAACTCTAAATAAATTTCCCTTGAATGAGTGGTCTTATTTTTCTTGGCGAAACATCTGTTGATACTAAGTAGCGAAGTGGAATGTTCTGTGGCTGAGAGTCGTAGTCTTTATGTTTCAGATTAATATCGTTCGTCTAACTGTTATAACTCTATGTATACAGCTTTTTCCTCATAGTGCATTGTGATATCTAGGAATCATAAACAAACTGCCTTCGGTAAATTTATTTTCACTGTTTAGATGACTGAAATTAGTGAGTCATTTGGGGTGATAAAATAGATTCCTCCAAAGGCTTCCGGAAAGATTGTGATATATTTATTTTTTCGACCAGGAGACGGTCTTTGTAGCAAGAAAGCTCTCAGGATTTCCACTTTTAATTTGCAATTCAAAGAAAAAGTTAGGTTGCTCACTAAAGTAATATATATAGTAGATTACGTTCAGCGGAAATTATTCTAAGGTAACTACGTAGCTTTAGGTAATGCGTCATAGAAGTAAGCAGCGCACGTTGACGGTATCTGAATGCATTAAACGTTGTGTAACTGGTTAAATCGTGGTTCTTACATACTAGTTAGTCCTATAAATAATGAACGTACCGTACAAGCATTTACTTTGATTTGCATACCCAGCTCATAAGCACTTTGCCTGCATGTGGTACACATTTAGTGCTGATACGCTGTGTGATAAGTTCCTTGAAGCACGCTACTATCATGATTAAAGCAAGAACAGGTTGAGCAGGATAAAGTGGCGTCATTAAAGTCTATTAGCTATAAATAGATGCATAAAAGTGTAAGTTATTTAATATCCATAGAGTAGATGTGCAAATACTGCAGTTGTTGATGATAAAAATGATGGATATTAGGTAACATCACATGATTCAACGGCATATTGGAAACAAATAAAGCCGTTTCTTAGCTCACTGTCAGCTGAAAAGTTTATTTGATCATGTCACGGCATATTAACGGATTAATAAACTAGCCGTTAACCCTAGGTTACCATATTTACTTGTACTACATACTTGGCGTTTAGCAGTATGCAGACTTGCAACTGGCTGCATAAGGCAACTTATATTGATGCCGTATTCATAAATAGACCTCACATATTTTCCAATATTAGAGGGTTGTTCGCAAATTTCAGGACAATATCTGAAACATGCACACTCTTGAGTCGCCATTCTTTCATCAAGATTATTTGCAGACCAAGCTCACACTAAAACCGTTTACATTAAAGGAAGTTTTGCAAATGTGTAACTTAGAAGTTGATCCACAATCTCATAAATGTCTAGTGAACATAGCTTAATGAATCCTACAGAAATTACATCCTCATATTTAGGAAACTACAGCCGTCAAATATAAGCTGAACATGCCTCAACTGTAAACAGCTATGCACAGTGTTAGCAACATGGAGTAACAATTAAAATACTATAAGATACACAGACAAATTTTGTTGGTGAGAATAACATTGCCATGAAATTCAACCTAGGTGTGACAGCTGCCTTTCTATGGCATATAGGAATGGCGAATAAGACTGGGTAGCACACTATATATATATACTGCTGCAAACCGAGCTGCCATATTCCATGTACCACACGAAAGAAGACAAAAGAGAGATTCGGAAGAACGATAATGAGCAGAAATGTTGTGGGAAAGGATAGAAACATGGGAAAACACGAGGGTTTAGTGGATGTGGCAAGTCACAAAGAATGAATGTATCCGCACCGCTGACAATTTTGAGTCATACAACTAATTACCCCCAGCCGTTGGTTTGTAGAGTCCTAAAGACTCCAACCGCACAGTCTACACCTCCCTACGTGGCTGGCTGAAACTAAGTGTTGTGGATTTCATTGATTGATGCCATGTTTTCGTTTGACCACCACTCCCTATTTTTCAACCTGGTCTTATGTCAACTAACATTGTATGTCAAGGAATGCTATGGCTAAGCATGAGCAACACATGTCTGAGTCATCCCGATCGATGTAGTTTCATAACCTCATCG